CTACAGGATGTGTCTCTGTCTCTGTTGTTTTTTGTGCATCTTGTTGTGTTCTTCTGTCTAATGGAGTTTCTGGGGTTTCTCTTTATTTTCTTCTGTTCAGAGCTGCGCTCGTTCTGCTCTGATAAAAACAGCTTCCAAGCTCAAAGCAGGAGGAGTAAGTTTTGCACAGGTTGTTTATCTCCACCTCGCAGCATCCACGCAATGAACTTTGCTCACAGGTTTTCACTCAAAATAACCTGAGAGCAAATGAAAACCAACTAAGAAGGTTAATTTCTGTGGGTTTTGTGCTATTTTTGCCTTACTTTTTGAACGTGGAATGTAACTAATAAAAGCTTTCCATGTGGAACCCATTTCCAGAAATTTAGGCTCATTTAGCTTCAAGTGCCTGGATGAACTGATTTCGATGAGCTTTATATGAACCAAAAGCACCTCAGAATGCCTCTCTTACACTCTACTATTTAACAGATTAGCAATTAGTCTACTTTGTCTTGTTTTTTAGTTTTAAGAGATTTGTGGCATTAAAAGTATAACAGTGGCATTATAATCTAACAATAAGCTTATCGTAACAAATTAGAAGTATTTGACGTGTTTTTGGGTTTAAATCTTCAGTGTCATGTGTGTCACGTGTGGAAAGTCTTTGAAATGTTTGTAACACATTCAGTCCATCATTTTGTGTGCGCTGTAAGATTTGTGTGTGTTTTTGTCTGCTTTACACACAACTTGTTTACACGTGCACTTCTTTGATTTGATGAGGTGAAAGGTCGAACCGGCCGGCAGGAGAATAAACCTTAGCTCTGCTGAATGTTTTAACTGTCGAACCAGCAGACGCTCAGTCTCGACACGGGAACAGGCTGTCTGCAGACAGTAGAGCTGCTCTTTTTCCTTCGTGTGAAGTTCACTCTTGTGCTGAATGTTGAATTTAAAGGGGTCTGATCCATGACACGAGTCTTAGTGGAGAAATGAACATTGCTGTGAAAATACCTCAGTGACTCAGGTAAACAAGCAGTTGCCTCAGAGCTGAACACAAACAAACTAAACACAAGATGAGTCTAGCTTTGCAGAGACTACTGCTGCAGATCCTCGCTCGAACAGCACCTGATCACGCACCCTCCCTCGTGTCTTCTCTCTCTCTGTCTCCCTGTTTTCTCCCCCCTTTAGCCACTCTCAAAGCTTCATGGAGGACAATGTGGAACCTAATTGGCTGATGCACCATCGGCAGTCTGCGGGCTGGCACGGCCAAATGTCCCGAGCCCTCTCTCGTGACGCGATTGGCTGACAAAGGGAGAACGTGGGACGTTGGTCCCATTCTCTCTTCTCAAAGGATGGTGCGACCCCCCGGCGGACCATGTAAGGAAACGCTGGGCTTTATTATTTTGTTTCTCACTTTACTTGAGCCCTCTCTCTCTCTGATTTGCAAAAAGGATTACTTTTTTTAATGTGCTTGACGCCTCGTTGTTGGATCAACATTTGGCCTTTTTAAAGGTGGGCTGGACATGTTTTTAGTGTTTGTTCGCCTGCCGAGCATGCAAAGAACAGCTATGCAGTCTGACCAATCAGAAGGAAGAACTCAAAGGCCAAGGACTGAAATAAGAGAGAGGGTTGTTAAAGTGGATTTCAAAGGTGCTTGACTTCTCTGAATATTTCAGTCAAAGCGGATTTACTTTCCAAACATTTATTTCCCTCTCTTATTCTCTTATTGCAATCTTTAAATTACTTTTTAGTTCCTTTTTTATTTACACTTAAGCATCCTCGTCACACGTTTGAACCCTCTTAAAAGTTTTTTTTATTTGTAGTTTTTAGCTCTTCCATCAAGATTGTTTTCAGACTTTGATTTTGAAGGAAACTAAATATGCACAGCCTCAATCAAAGACTCCTTAGGAACAAAAACTTGTTTCAATGAAGACTTTGACAAAAAAAAAACCTGGACAGAATGTTGTTATTTATATTTCTATGATAATATGAATTATTCTTACAGTAGTATTTTAAAAGCCTCTTCATCAGACATCTTCTGGAGAAGATCTTTATTTCTTGATGAAGACAGATGACTCCATCTGATGGAGTTTTATAGAAACACTTTTCATATTCAGACAATCTTGTGGAGGAAAGTGTTGCCCTGCAGGACTGAGGGACAAGCTTGTGTTTTACCTATTGACACCCCCCCCCCCACACACACACACACACACACACACACAACAGTTTGCACGTTGCTGTGACCAGCCGTTTCCTCCTAACGATAAAAAGAGTTAACGACAAAGATGCAGAGGAGGTTGTTTCTCCTCCACCCGCCGCCATGGAGCTCTCCATTTACGGACGATGCAGACGTCGCTGGACGAGGACGTTTCCTTCGCAGGTGTGCAGAGTTTAAACAGAGCAGGGGGGTGCTGGGCTTCTGTGTGACCATATCTTCTGCAGTCCAGGTGCTGTAAAACACCTCATTTCTTTCTAACGAGGGACTCCACTGACACCAATCAGACCTGAAATCCCTGCCATTTGTGACTGAAGGGAAACCAGAGAGAGAGATATGTTAGAGGTCCTGCTGAGCCGAGTGAATGTGTTTGTATATATGTGTGTTCTGGTTAAACCTCTGTATATACTGCATAAATGTGTATATATGGTATGTCTATACAGTTTGTTTGTATAATGCAGAGTGTACAGTTATTTTTTCCTCTAATGTTTCTCTCTCTTTCTATGAATAGGTCTTCTAAAATTACCAGTAGTGAGGCACGGGGAGGTTTTTACACACTGACAGCGATCACAAGCACTTTCTGTGCAGACTTAGAACATCAGCAACGTCTGTCACTTTACAGCTGCTTTTTCTCCAGGCTCTCAAATCAAACTCACTTAAGCTTGCACTCATTTTCTGACCAACTCAAAAGCTTTTTTTTTTAAATAAAAAAGATTTGGGTGACCAAGCAATGTTTGTACATATTATAACGTACACTAAAACCAGTTATTTATTATTTTTCTCTCCAGAAACCTTCATTTCCTCACAGGTTCAAGCCTGTTTCGAGTTCTCACGTTTAACTTTTGGTTCCTAAGATTTATGTTTGGCGATGGTTGTCATTCAGAGTTATATATTTATTCTGACAACCCTTATATATGTATAGATGTTCTTTGAAATTTTGACTCCCCCAAATTCTGCCTCTGATGGAGTCATCGAAGCGTTTTTATGCAGACGAATCCTTCCATAGAAGTATACTGTTATTACTCAACATTGCTTGTTTTTTTGTATAGGTCCTAACTAAATAAGTGTGCCTCCCTCTTATACTCTTACTAACCACAGATCCAGTCACTCTGCTGGTCAAACATCTTCATACCCCCCTTTTACAAGCCATAGCTCCCCCCCTCCTTTTCCCCCAAAACTCCTCTAATTGTTGTTTTGACAGAACAGACATTTGGGGATTTTGTGTATATTAATGGAAGAGTGGTGTTGAAGAGTGTTTTTTTGCAGTTGTATATGGATTTGTTATGAATGTGGATATTCTGATAATTGATTAATTATTATTGTAATAATGATAATAATTATTGCCTCTTTGAGTTTGTTGACTAATTCTTATGATGCGGTTGATGAAAATGCCATTTTTTTGTTTTGATTTTTTGTTTTTGAATACACCGAAATTTATATTTTTCGGGTGGGCGAGAGAGGAGATAGAATTACGTAAATAAATTATTAAATTAAAAGATTATTGAATTCTTAACTTCTTGTGTGTCTGGGTTTTTTTTATGTTTTCAGTCATTTCAAATCAAATTGTTGGTGATATTTCAGATTTTTGTTGCAGTTGTGCTCGTTCTCCTGCAGGTGTTGTTCTTCAGCTGCTGTAGGAGCAACAAACCAAAAACAACCAATTTCTGTGCCCGTCACACACAGATTAACACATTTGTTCAAACCCATTATATAAGTCTGCACCTATAAATTAATTTCATCTCTACAACTTCTTCTGCCTCAGTGGGTTCAAGCTTTTCATCGTCATCTCCATGGCTTTAAGCTCCTAAAGGATCAGTGATCTCTGTTGGCCTCTATTGACACATAGGAGGAATTACAACACTTATTTCAGTCAAATTAAACATAAAATGGTTTTATAAGCACTTTTTGTTGTTGTTTTATGATTGAAAAGTTCTGAGCTGGTCTGGCTCACGACCTAATCAAGGAAAACTTTCAGCTTCTCAAACTTATTGAATAAAACGGTACAGAATCACAGTATCCATCCATCCATCCATCCATTTTCTTCCGCCTATCCGGGGTCGGGTCGCGGGGGCAGCAGTTTCAGAAGGGAGGCCCAGACCTCCCTCTCCCCAGCCACTTCTTCCAGCTCCTCCGGGGGAACTCCAAGGTGTTCCCAGGCCAGCCGAGAGACATAGTCCCTCCAGCGTGTCCTGGGTCTTCCTCGGGGCCTCCTCCCGGTGGGACGTGCCCAGAATACCTCACCAGGGAGGCGTCCAGGAGGCATCCTTACCAGATGCCCGAGCCACCTCAACTGGCTCCTCTCGACGTGGAGGAGCAGCGGCTCTACTCTGAGTCCCTCCCGGATGACCGAGCTTCTCACCCTATCTCTAAGGGAGAGCCCAGCCACCCTGCGGAGGAAACCCATTTCGGCCGCTTGTATCCGGGACCTCGTTCTTTCGGTCATGACCCAAAGCTCATGACCATAGATGAGGGTAGGAACGTAGATCGACCGGTAAATCGAGAGCTTCGCTTTCTGACTCAGCTCTCTCTTCACCACGACGGACCGGTACAGCGCCCGCTTTACAGCAGACGCTGCGCCAATCCGCCTGTCGATCTCCCGCTCCGTTCTTCCCCCATTCGTGAACAAGATCCCCAGATACTTAAACTCCTCCACTTGAGACAGGGCGACCCCCCTGACCCGGAGAAGGCACTCTGCCCTTTTCCGGCTCAAGACCATGGCCTCGGATTTGGAGGCACTGAGCCTCATCCCGGCCGCTTCGCACTCGGCCGCGAACCGCTCCAGCGAGAGCTGCAGATCTCGTTCCGATGAAGCCAACAGGACCACATCATCCGCAAAAAGCAGAGATGCGATCCTAAGGCCACCAAAACGGATCCCCTCAACACCTCGGCTGCGCCTAGAAATTCTGTCCATGAAAGTAATGAACAGAATCTGTGACAAAGGGCAGCCTTGGCGGAGTCCAACTCTCACCGGAAATGAGCCCGACTTACTGCCGGCAATGTGGACCAGACTCTGACACCGGTCATACAAGGACCTGACAGAATCACAGTAACCCCCACACACAACACAAGTTTAAAGATAAAACAAGATGCTGTGAGGTAAACAAGGGCGTAACTTTAGGTTTAGCATTGAGGGGGTTGTGCTCCAAAACCCTGCACGTCATTTTCAGTAGTTATACTTAAATGTACATACTGTATATGACATTGTATTGTATTGTATGTAACTTCGCTGTAATACAGACCACTACAGAAGATCTTTCCTGCCCACAGCCATCAGCATCTACAATAATTCTTTAGTTAAATGAGATACAACAACACCTAATTTCCCTCTGGGATCAATAAAGTATTTTTGAATTGAATTGAATTGTAAATTTTTAAATCAGGTCAAAGTTACCTAAAGACAAGTCAGTTGCATCTGTGTACTTAACCAGTTCATTTCTATTGTGCTTGAGCAAATGATGTCCTTTAATTGGGGTGGGGGGAGGGGGGGGGTGTTTTGACTGGATCAAATTATTGTGGCAGTCATAACCCCCCTAACCCCCCTGCAAATTACACCTATGGAGGTAAATATACTGTTTTACACTCAATTACCTGCTTTTTATTCAAAAACTTGCTTTGTTTCTTCAGTCCTTTTTTAACAGACTTCAGAGCTTCATGCTCAAACATGAATAGGAAAGTTTAACTGCTGGGAGGTTTCAGAAACACTCAAAATAGTGGCGTATCATCTGTGCCGATCCATCGTGGTGAAGAGGGAGCTGAGCTGCAAGGAGAAGCTCAGTTTACTGGTCAGTCTGTTCTTATCCTGGGTAATGACCGACAGAACCAGAGCTCAGATACAGACCATCAACATGAGTTTTCTCCACAGGCTATCTGGAGTCTCCTTTAGAAATGAGTGAGAAGTTGAGTTGTTCGAGCTGCTGCTCCACATCCAGAGGAACCAGTTGAGGTGGTACAGGCATCTGGTAAGGATGCCCTCCTGGACGCCTCCCTGTTGGGAGGTGTTCCAGGCATGTTAAACTGGAAGGAGACCCCAGGGCAGACTCAGGACATCAGCTGGCCTAGGAACACCCCGGAGTCCTCCAGAAGAGAGGTGATCCTGTCAAATAAGGATCAATGACACGGCTATACGACTCATTCAGCCTGCCAGTGAGTTTATAATATAGTTTAAAACATGAATTAAATTTAAGTGATGACAATAATTGCTGTCAGACCCCTGAGCTGGTGAATTTCAGTAACTGTGACACAATGAGTAATTTGGTTGGACAGCTAAAGGATTTTTTTCAATTAGCTATGAATTAAATTATTCTTATAACTTGTATTTTATGTGTAACATTAGTGTGTCACTATATAACAAACATTAACAGTAATGTATTGTAAGGATTCAACTAATTGGTTAGAAATAACTATTTTCTTGTTTAAGTGCCGATTTACGGATTTTTGAATGATTTGGCAACCCTGCTGCAAATCTCGTTAATTCACGTTTGTACTCTCGCGATACTCAGGCGGTCAGTGCCTGATAGGAATAATGGCCGGATCGGAGAACAACACAAGAGGCATTTTAGAGCATTTTAGCTGACCGGGAACATTTAATATCAGCCGGAACCCCTTTCTACCCAGTTTTCAGAACGAATGGGTGGAGGGGGTTTCGTCAAAGGACACAAGAAACGAAAGAAGACGGAGAGAACCAGAGGAACGCTAACCTTATCTGGATAGCTAGTGCTAGCTAGCTGGCTAACAACACGGGTGTCACTACCGGGGGAGCTAACCCGAGTAGCCGTGACAACTGTGTGTCTGGAGGCTCGGATGAAACGGTGACCTGACACCGGGACGTGTGCTCCAACACCTGTCTGGTCGCTAATATGAGTGGACCGGGACAGGACAGCGAACCAGAGGCGAAAGTCCTCCTCATCAAGCGGCTTTACAGGTAAGTTGACGAGGCCGTTTCTCACAAGCTAACCGGAGGTGCTAATGATAGGTTATTTATTGAACTGCACTTAAAGAAACGACTAAACTATTAACATTATGTGCAAAGTCCATGTGTGTTGTTTGTGTAAGAACAGACGTGTTTGATTCAACCTCTAAAGTAGCTTAATCATTGTCATTAGTTGTTTCTGTTTTTGTTAGAGAAGCGAAACAAACACGGGTTTTTAAAGCTTTTGTAACCTTTCATCCCAATAAATGTTATTCGCTACAATATAAACAGCTGATTTTTTTTTTTCATAGTCATTGTCCTGTTTTCTGCCAGGGCTGTGGTGGAGTCTGTGCACAAGCTGGATGTCATCATCGGCAGCAAATCATCTTACAGAGAAGTCTTCAAGCCGGAGAACATCAGCCTGCGGAACAAGTAGGTCCAGTCTTCTCAGCACTTTGAAGCAGAGCTTTCATTTCAATCTGAAGAGTGCCTGGCCTGGCCTTGGCCTGGCCTAGGACTAGCCTAGGACTGGTACATTTTGCTCAATGTGTTTTTAGATTTCCTGATGATCTGATAAACCACAGAGCAAGTTGGTCAAATTCAACCTTTTTTTTATTGTTTAATTAGACAGGCAAAAACTAAACCTCCAGCCTGAAAGCTGTTCCATCTTATGACATCTGTGATTTTACACTTTTAGGATTCTGTATTTTTGAAGGGTGTTGCTTGAGTTTGTAAAATAAAACAAAATGAGAGCGTTAAACCAAACTAGAATAAGAACTGATCAACAGCGAAACTTGCCTGGAGAGTTTAAAGTTAAGTTAAATGAAGTCAGCAGCTTTGAATATAAATTCTAGGGGGTGCACCGCCGGATGATTTCCTTACTTTTGGGAAATTGGAGATCGGCCGATCCTTAGCAGAAAAGATTGGCTTGTCTACCTTAAAGGTCTGAAAATCATCCTCTATCCTCTTTTGCTCTGCTGTGAGCACTATCTAATATCCAGTTCAGACAAGTTTGTATTGTTTCAAATATATTGTTCAAAGTATTTCAGTAAAATAACATTTGAACATGGAAATTATATGACTTTGTAACATATGACAGTGTCAACTATTTAAAAAAAAATGGTATTGGCCAAAATGGGAATTGGCAGGTCGGACTTTTTAAAGATTGGAGATCGGCAAGAAAACTAGAATCGGTGCACCCCTACTGAATTCTTATCTAGACCTACAATATGACCAGTGTTGTATAAAGTACCACAAAGTGATACTTGAGTAAAAGTACAAGTATCTTACCAAAATATTACTTTGGTAAAAGTTAAAGTCTCCTTTAGGAATATTACTTGAGTAAAAGTCTTAAAGTATCTGATA